TTTGCTCTACACCTCGCTCCAGCTCTGAGGTGGCTGCTGCCTCAAGTATGCTGTGTGAACCGCCCCGTCATGCTGTTCCAGTCAAACCATCAAAGCAGGACAAACCGTGGGGCTGGGGCTGGGGCAGAGCAGGAAGCAGCACTAGGGCCACAGGCCCTGTGGGCTGAAACCAAGTTCATACACTCGGTTAGAAACACCAAAATAATCTTTCCAGACACTTTCACAACACTAACTACAAGAACACTCAGTTCTTGATAGGTTTCTCTCTGCCTGAAGGTTTGGCTAAGTAACGGTCACTCTGCCTGCAGATTTAGGTTTACTTTGGCAAATAGAATGGTGTTTGGGTGTTCCCGCAATAATATCCTGGCTGCCCTCAAAAACAACTCCAACTGACTTAAAGAGCCCAACTTAAATGCAGGAAAACAAGGGGTGTGCTAGAGACACCAGTCTTCCTTTGTTAAAGCTGCTGTTCCTAACAGTATTGCTAATAGAGCAATGCTAGCTAGTTCAGAAACAATCTGGGTTAAAAAAAAAAAAAGACAACATCTTTTCAGTAAGCCTGGAACGACGGGGCTCCAATCCAATTAGGCCCCACAGTCCTGCCATAAAACAAAAAAAAAACAGTACTGGGAAAAAGAGGTGCATGAAACAAGCATTTCCTGCCCTACACAGCTACTGGCACGTCCTCACGGGTGCAGAGCTGCTGTGATGGGCAACTACAACAGCACTTCCCGTTTCAACCAGCTCTGCTTCTGCTGTTTCTGCTGGCTGAAGTCACTCTTTACTGCCTATAGCCCTACAGAGGCAACAGAGCCATGGGAGAGCCAGCGGGATTCCATTCTTGGCTCAGGTTTCAAATAGAATCATGAAACTAAACTCTGACTGGATTCAATGTTGGCTTTTGCATTGAGCAGAATGGCTGGCAAAGTTGTAATTCATGAATCTTTGTTTCTCTTACGTTAGCCAGAAAGGGCCTAGTTTGGATTTTCAGGCCTCAGTCTGGGTTTGCAAAGAGGAGGGGGGGAATACCGCATTTCTACACTTGTACAGTGAGCGCACATGATTTGAAAGTCACTGAGATATCACCGTGAAACCCCACAATGACAGTCCTCCAGTCATTTTTCAGAAGAGAACTATATTTTAAAAAGAGAGACTAAAACAAAGGAAGAAACAATCCTTTTAAGACTGATTTTTAAAATAGGCAAGCCTTGCTGCTGGTGTGTCATGATCAAAAAGATAAATGCTCAGTTTCCTACCACAAAACATTCCCCCCCCCCCACTCAAAAAGCCAGCCCACATATCTGCAAGGTTCTGCATCTCAACCGGATAACAGTTAACTCCCTCACTCACTTGTGCACAAAGAAGTACTGGCCAGCAAGGCATCTTGTTAACCATTTCATGTCAGAGGAAGATTTATTAGGTTACAAAAGTAACCTAATTTGCAAAGGTTCAAAATAGGAAGTGGCAGTTAAGTCTCCTTTGCAAGGGTACCACTGTTTTCATTTTCAGTTGGATTTGGGGGGGGGGGGGGGGGGG